TCAAGGGCATGTACGTTGGTTGCGGGCACATCCCCAGTAGGGGGTGTGCAAGAGGCAGCTGATCGATGATTCTCTCTCACCGATGTTTCTAACTCTCTATCCCTCTCGCTTCCTCTCTATAAAAAATCAATAAAATATATTTTAAAAAATACTGCCAGGCTCTGAGGCTACAGTTCTATGGGTCACCTTCAATTCCTTTCTCTCCCTCAGTAACAGCACTTACCTCAGAATTTCTGGGAGGTTAAAATGAGAGAACGCATGTAAATCATTCTGAACACAGGGCCTGAAACAGAGTAAGTGCTCCCTCATGCAACTATGATGAATAAATATCTTATGGCTCATAATGAATCAGTACGTAGCCAATGCCCATAACTCCCTCTTTGTGTCTTTCAAAATCACCCATCCAACATCTATCCTTCCATCCCCCCTGCCTTATCCTCATCAAGGCCCTAAACTTCCCATCTGGACCAGAGATAGAAACTCAAAGCCAGTCTCCCCTCCCACCTCCTAATCCATCTGAGATAGAAGGTCTGGATGGAGCTGCTCAGAAATGTCAGCGCTCTGCTGTTGGCTCCCTTGGAGACCAAGCCTTTTCTGCCCAGTGTCACCCTACATTCCCAGCCCTGTCTCCAGCACCCATGTTCCAGCCAGACTGGTTAGTCAGTCTCTGAAAAAGTCTCTGCCTCTCCCACGTCAATGCCCTGGTGGATATCATTCTCTCAGTCTGGAAAGTCCCCTTGTCCAAATGAAAATCCTTGTCTTTCAAGTTCTCTTCCTTCATGAAGCCATGGTTTGTGTTTCTGTCTTGTAACTCCCTCTCACAGACCCTACCTGGCATAGTTGGTCTCTTACTGGTGTTTCTTTTCCTCCCTGTAGGACCTCATCCAGTGCTTCATACACATAGAACACTCCATACATCAGTGGTTGGCAAACTTATTAGTCAACAGAACCAAATATCAACAGTACAGCGACTGAAATTTCTTTTGAGAGCCAAAAACCAACGAATTTTCAATCGCACTGTACGTGCGTGCCCGTATTTTGTGGTATTTTGTGGAAGAGCCACACTCAAGAGGCCAAAGAGCCGCATGTGGCTCTCGATACACGGTTTGCCGACCACTACCATACAGATGTGCTGACTAAAATTGACCACCTTTCTCACGTTAAGGTGAGAAGCCCTTCTCTGGTTTTTGAGGTCTGTGCTCCGACTGGGCACATGTCCTGCATGGGATCACTTTGGTCCAATCTTCACCCTATCTAACCCCTCACATACCCTAACTAGCATTTTCCCAACAGCCATGTGCCACTTAACAATGTTGATAGAGTCCGAGGAATTTGTTGTTGGGTGATTTCATCATTGTGTGAATACCACACAGAGCACTTACACAAACCTAGATGCTACAGCCTACACACTCAGTCCATGAGGGGTAGCTCACTGGTCCCAAGCTACAAGCCTGTACAGCAAGTTACTGTACAAAACAACACGAGATTAAATCAAGCACAAAAGAAAATGATGCAATCAAGAGGCCATTGGGAAATACCAGGTATATGAGGCATAATAGGACAGACTGTTTTACAGCAAACTTTTTTTTTTTTAGAGTAGAAAGACTCGACTCTAGCGGGGACCGGTTTGGCTCAGTGGATAGAGCATTGGCTTGCAGACTGAAAGGTCCCGGGTTCAATTCCAGGTAAAGGCATGTACCTTGGTTGCGGGCACATCCCCGGTAGGGGGTGTGCAAGAGGCAGCTGATTGGTGATTCTCTCTCATCGATGTTTCTAACTTTCTATCCCTCTCTCTTCATCTCTGTGAAAAATCAATAAAATATATATATATAAAAAAAAGAAAGACTCGACTCTAAAATAACAACAAATGGTACAGCAAATACATAAATCAGTAACGGCCATTTATCTTTATTATCAAGTAGCGTGCTTGTAATTGTATGTGCTGTACTTTCATGCAACTGGCAATGCAGCACATAGGTTTATATCAGCAGCATCATAAGCACAGGATAATGCGTTGCCCCACAATGTTGATAGCTACGGCGTCACTAGGCTGTAGGAATTTTTTAGCTCCATTATAATCTTATGGGGCCACACTCCTATACACGGTCCATCAATGACTGAAATGTGGTTGTTGAGCGGGCGTGTGCCTAACATAACGCTATGCACTTCCTCATTCTGCCTTTGTTACCTTCCCCACCCCCAAGCCCTACCTGTCCCAGCCTGTGTCCTTATTTCCTGAGATTGAACTGATCTCGTGTACAGTGTGGTGCTCGTGGACTTAAACCCTGGAGGGAATCACTCTTCTTCAAGAACTGATCTGTATCGGGGAACCCAAGCCCTGCAGTGAAAAGTGTCCTGAAAACGCACTGATAAGCAGAGTGCCGGGGATGCACAGACCGCACTGCATTGCAGGATGCAGTGTGGAAGTTCAAGCGAGGCGTGTGGATTAAAATGCATGAGCTTACCATAGCTTTCCCGAGGAGAGAGCACACTTAACGGTCACTGGTGGAGCACTGCATAAGAAAATGGGCATTCCGTGTGGATCTAAGGGAGCCTTTGGAAGGGTTGTGTTTTGTTTTGTTTTTAATTACTATTATTCTTTTCATTAGGCAAGATGAAGCCATCCTAAGGTCACGTTGCTGGCATAAAGAAGATGCACGTTATATGTCAGCAACTACAGTATAATGTGTTTGTTTTGGGTGAGCCAGCAAAACACTTGAGAACAGTTTATTCTGCAGAAAGACCGAATTAACCCTTTAATTGCTGTTCCTTGCCTCGGAACCACCCATCTCGTCACACTAGCGAGAAGCCCTTGCTTCTTGCAGCTGCGTTCTTCAGCCTGTTCTTTTTTTTTATAATATATTTTATTGATTTTTCACAGAGAGGAAGAGAGAGGGATAGAGAGTTAGAAACATCGATGAGAGAGGATCATCGATCAGCATCCTCTTGCACACCCCCTACTGGAGATGTGCCCACAACCAAGGTACATGCCCTTGACAGGAATCGAACCTGGGACCTTTCAGTCCGCAGGCTGATGCTCTATCCACTGAGCCAAACCGGTTTCGGCTTCAGCCTGTTCTTGCATTAAGAATAAATTAGGCAAAGAGAAGAAAACAAAGCATAAAGGAAGGTGAATGCTCTCCATGTAATCATTCCTGTCAGGTGGGTATCCCCACTGGGGCCTCCCAATAATGAAGCCAGCCTGAATCATGGGAACCCGGAACTCCTCAAACACTCAGGTTTGCCCTGTCACGTTGTGACTGAATTGCATGCGTGCACCAGCTGATGCCATGGATGTCTTCAGCACAGGCCACTCTGAACCTCCCTGCCTCCTGAAGGGGTGTTGGTAAACAAACGGGCTGGGCCCTTCTGCTATGGGGGATGCTGATGGAGCCTCAGCACTTTCTCTTTCATGTTTGGTCAAGTGGTTTTCCCTCACTTTGGAAAGAAAGGATCATTGGGCTGGACCCGCAGTGCCCTGAGAGGGCGATGTGGCCGAGTGGAACTGCAGAGTGGAGCCAGACAGCTCTGATTCCAACCCCATCCTTTCCAGCTGTGGGCTTTGCATTTGCTTACTTCTATAAAATGGGGATGATTTCCCTCATTTTGCTTGGCACAGGGTCGGTACTTAAGGAATGTTTAGTACCTTACCCCAAATTCTATTCAAACTCAGGAGAAATCTGAGACGTTGGAGCACGAGGACGTATCCTCCCTGTCCCTTCCACGTCGTGCTTCCTTCTTTCACAGAAGCCAAACCTAAAACACCTGTCTTCTCCCTCTCTCTCCTCCACCCACGTCCTCACCGTCGGAGCCCAGCTGGGTCAAGCCAGATCCCAGGGAGGACGCTGGAACCAGCCTTCCTTTCTCAGCCCGGTGGGGACCCTGATTGGAATTACAATGCACTGTCTCCCCGGAGAGGCCTGGAGCGGGGAGGAGGCGGCAGGTGTTTTTCCGGGTCTTCTTCCTGTTCCATTTCACCGCATTCGGTTTGAGCCAACACCGATGGCGGCCTGAGACACACCCAGGTCAAGGTGTGAGCCCGCCGTAGGGAGCAAAGGGGAGGAAAGAGCGGGGACTGACTGGGCCTTAGGCGGCCTGAGCCCGGTGAAAGGTGAAGATTTTCAGCCGGATGACTACCTGGAACCCTGTTCTATCTCTGCAAATGAGTCACTGGAGGGTGATGGTGTAAGCGCAGGTGTAATGTTGGCCCGCGGAACACCCGGCCTGGAGGAACAGCTATCTTCAATCCAACCCCCTGCATTCCACGCCGCCGAGAAAAGGAAGATGCAGAGATTCAGCACGTTGCCTGAGGCCGCGAATCAGCCCGGGGTCTGAGCTGGACCCGGACCCCGACCCGGACCCGCCGTCGGGATTCCCAGCCTGGCTCCGTCTGGCGCCACCCTCCTCCCAAGGAAACGGTATAACTGACCATCAAGGTGCTCCGTCTGGGATCCTGACCTCTTCATTCTGCTCGCGACCCCGCTTTTTCTGGTTCGGGGCCCCCCCTCCAGAGCTGGTGCTGCACCTTCCCGGCCCTCCGCACCCCCCGGAGCAGACTGGCCGGAGGGGGGGGGGGCGCCTCTGCATACCTCGTGGAAAGCTGCAAACCGCGCCGAGCTGTGGATGGGGAGGGGACCCAGGGGGGCTTGGCTCGGGGTCAGAAGGCGCCAGGTCCCGGGCGGGGGCGGAGCCGGGGGCGGGGCGGAGCGGCCGGGGGCGGGGCCGGGCGCGGGGAGTCCGGAGGCAGCGCCGCGGAGCCGGAGACGCCGCCGCGGAGGGAGCCTGCCGGCGGCGCGCGGGGCTGAGCGGGGACCCGGGGCGGCGGGAGCCGGAGGCGCGGCTGCAGCCCGGCGATCGGCGTCACCGGCGGCGGCGGGGGCGGAGGGGGCGGAGGGGCGGAGGGGCGGGGCCGGCTCGCAGCTGCCACCCCGCGGGCCGCCCGGGCCGGGCAGACGGCAGCCGCCCGCCGCCGGGCACGCACCGCGCGCTCTCCCCGAACAATGCTCCGCGGCGCCCGGCCGGGCGGCAGGCGGCTCGGCGACCGTCGGCGAGGCCGGGGCAGCGCGGCCGCGAGGTGAGCCTGCGACGCGCCCTGCACACTCGGCCCCTTTTTGTCTGGCGGCCGGGGCCGCGGGGGAGCCGCGGGGAGCCCCGGGATCGCGGGGATCACGGGCGGGAGGGAGGGCGACCCCCTGCCGGGGTGACAGGCGGCCGCGGGAGGCGGGCGGAGCGGCGGCCCGGACCGCGTGCGCCCGCGGCGGAGGCGCCCAGCCCGGAGCGCACGGGAGCCGCAGGGGGGTTTCGATCCATCGGATCGTCGCGTTCTGGGAAGCGGGGAAACTTTTCCTTGGAGTTCCGGGCGGGGAAGCGGATTCTCCTGCGGGTCCCGCTGGTGCTCGGGTTGGGGCCCGACCGAAGAGCTTGGGGATGGCTCCTGTGGAGACCGCCTTTGCACCCCAGGAGCATGGGCAAGGGAGTGGGGAGCGAGAGGCCACTCAGATGGTGATGGTTTGGGGCGCCAGGGCCGGAGCGGCACCGGGGTGCATGCAGTGCCAGAGGGACTGAGTGATGCCTCCCTCTTCTCTGAAAGGCGTGCCCTTCGCCTCTGCTGCCCCTTCCCCAGCCGGGACATGCCACCCACCACACCGCACCACCCCACACCACACACACAGGGACCTCGCCACTTTCAGGTCCTGCGAATGGGGATGGAGGCAGGGCCAGCTAACCGGGAGCTGTGCATTTCCCTCCGGTAGGGAGCCAGCACAGAGCTGTGCAGAGCCGATGGGAGAGCCAAGCCGGATCATCTAGCGGCCAAGAGATTTGCAATAAGTCAGGTCCGGAGTCAGGTCCCGGAGACTTTATTGATCTCAGCCTGAACTGATGAGAATAGCAACCCCTTCCCTCTCTGAAAGTGAGTTTGGGCTAGGAGCCCCGGAGAATCCTGCAGTTGCTTTCTTATCTTGGGGTCTTGTGCAACTCGGTGTCCTTCTTACCGGTGGAGACCACAGTGGGTCTCACCCAGAGCGCCTTGCTACTGCTGAGATTGGGTTGCGTGGCATTGGAGAAGGGAAAAAATAAAATAAAAAGTTAGGTGACTATCATAATTTAGCTAGCATGTGTGTGTGTGTGTGTGTGTGTGTGTGTGTGTGTGTGTGTGAAGGTTGTCACTCTCTCCTCTCTGCCCGGGCAGCCCTTGCCAATGGATTTTTGAAATCCAGAACCTCTTTCATATATACTTTTTTTTTTTCCATCGCTGCCTTCATTTAATTGTAATATATGTATTTTCTTTTTTAGATGAGTGTTTTCTGGTAATCTGTCATTTCAGGGTAGGGCATAGACAACTTTTGATGTAAGTATGAGGGGCGATATTTTGAGCCAAACTATTTAATTTGATGGCTCTGGATCTGGCCAGCATTCTCTGTCGTCTTTTGGAAAGGAGGTGGGGATGCATCTGACAGCTCCAGGTCTTCAAAGAGTAGCCTCACGGCCAGTGCACACGTTTGCCGAGGCAAAGGCATTTTATCGTGACTTGGATCAGAAAGCATGCTGAGATCTCTCTCTAGCCTCACGCTGCTGCCTCCCACAGCAATGGGGGAATTTGCATACTTCTGGGGGCCGCCTTCCCTCAGAGGTAAGGAATGTGGGCTGGGAAGGTGCCATCGCCGTTCCCAGGCAGCGGAGAGCAAGCCGGGAGGGGAGGCGAGGGGTGGCTCCTTGGGTGTGAGTGCCACTTGAATTTTTCACCGTCTTTTACTTAAAACAAGCCGAGATCCTTTGAGGCCCTCTCCAGACAGACATAACTGGCAAAGAACCCTTCCCAGCCGGACAGGGCGGTAAAGTCGCTTGCTGGGAAGGAGAAACCAGTTTTAAGAGGATGCAGCGCGTCAGTGATGGAGAGAAGCCCGGGGCTTGGTTAACCTTTGCGTCTCTGAGCAGTCGGTCCTGTGGGTGAAAGTTGTGCCCCAGTCAGTCCTGTGGGTGAAAGTTGTGCCCGTTGCCAGAGAATCACAGAGTCTCGGGCGGGCGAGAGAGAGTGCCCGGAACTGGGGGGTCTGAAGGGAACTCCCCTGGTGATGGTAATGGGGGGAGGGGACCCCCTGCACCCACAGCAGCAGGCAACCATGACAAGTGTGTGCTCTGGGTTGTCTGTGGCGGAAACTGCTTCTTTGTGGCTCTGGTCGTTTTTGGAAAGCAGTTGGATGACCAGCCTCTCGGGGAGCCCAGCCCCAGGCCCAGCCTCAGGGGAGGCTGCTGGGCTGTGAGGAGCCCACAGGGAACTGGTTTCCAAGCTCTCTTCCTCCAGCCCATCCAGGGACTCCGGAGCCTCTGCCAGGGGTTCAATGTGGGGGGGGGGGTGCCTGCCTCTGCTGTGGCCGGGAAAGTAGCCCCTCCCCCCTCCCCTTCTAGAAATTAGCAGCAGAAATTGTAGGAGAGAAAAATCCTTGCTATCCTTGCTGTCCTCTCTGCTTGTTGAGGCTTAGTGACCTCTCCTGGGCAAGTTGGCAAGGGGTGAACTGGCTGCTGGGGCGCCCTCAAGGAGAGGAGCCCAGCCCGAAAGGGAGTCGGTACTCAAAACAAACATGTGTATTTTATCCGGAGCATTCCTTTAGCTGAGAGACGAGGGGGCTTCCAGGTGAACTCTGGAGGGGAAGGAGGCAAGCTTGGCTTGGAAGGAGGCACCTGTTGAACCAGCACGCCCGCCTGGGAGTGTGGGAGATCAGACAGATAGCGCTTCCCACAGAGGTGCTGGGATGATCCCTGGGACACCTGGCTCATTCCACCGAGAGAGCATCAGCCTCAAAGCCGGCTCTCGTGGGAAGAAAGTGGAGAGAGCAAACCTGAGGGCAGAACCCTTCTGTTTCATGGGAATCTGTTCCCTTTAGACTCTCGAGGATTATTTTCTCAGGAACCTTCCTGACGAGGAAGACAGTTTCTTTCAATGAGGGGAAGGGAGCTTTCCGTCTGACCCAGCCATTTCAGCCATTTTCATCTCCTGGCGCACATACACTAATTACTAAAATTCTGCGGCACACCCACACCGAGAAGTGCATTATTTGCCGATCTGCCAAAAAAAAAAAAAAAAAGTATAATTTTGATTCATTCACACCGATGGCTATTGTTGTGTCGGCTGTTGTCATTTTTTTTATTTGACCATCGAAGGGAAGAGAGCACAGGCCCCTGACTAAGCAGGCAGGTATTTCATGTTTTAGAAACTCGGGTGGCACGCCGGTGGGACATCCCCGGCCTCACCAATGCCGCGGCTTGGAGGCTGTGCCAGCAGAGTTCTTCTCTTTCCAGAACCACCACACTGTTGGTCTAGGAGCAGGTCTTCGTTTATGTGGTTGCCATTGTTTTCCCGTCGATGGAAGGGCAGAAAGCTGCCTGACTCAGGTTAATGGGTCACTATCTACAGCCCGTGGGGCTCCTCCTCAATGTGAACTCTCTGCTTTCAGTTTTACTCTCGGAGGCAACCAACTCAGCCCGCTGGGTTATCATGGGGAAATTACCCTGTGACCCTCTCCTCCCTTTCCTGGGGCCCGTCCTGCCACCCCTAGCCCACAGGTGCTTATGCCTTTCTGTCCGTCCTCCCAGGCTGAATGATTTGTATGAAGCAGGGGCGGGGGGGGGGGGGTAAATTCCCAGGATGCTAGACCTCCTGACTGGGGTCCCCTGTGGGGCAGGCAGGCACCACAGCTCTCCCCCTTCGCACCCCCTCCATCTCTGCCTGGTCTCAAGGCAGGAGAGCCTGATCTCAGGGCCCAGACTCACCTCCCCGCTCGCTCACATAGCTCTTGGTTAAAGCTCGTGGCTTATGCCCCGGAAGCCACCAGTTTTATGGGCTGTGCTGCTGCTTCGTTCTTGTTCCTCTGGGGCGGAGGCCCGGGCTCTGCACCCCTCGTGGCCGGGAATGCAGGGATGAGATAACAGGCTCCTCCTCCACGGGATTTCTGCTTAACTGCCCCCAGCCTCCAGGTGCTCCGGATTCTCAGGGACTGGGTCATCACTGTGCTCTCTGCGTCTAGTTTTTACAGCTTCTGATAAGGCCACACCACGAGAGAGTGACTAAGAGCCTGATGAGAAGCGGGCGAGGGCCTGGGAATACACGGGAGACTAATGATGAGCTTTGTTCCTCCCCCTTTTCCCCTTCCTTCCCCTCCTCTCCCCCGTCCAGGAGTCAGACCCTCAGGGACAAGGCGCCTGTCCTCTGGCGGGAAGGGCTTTGATCAGACCCGTGTTCTTCCCTTCCAGGAAGCCGCTCTGTGACCCACGTCTGCCTCCCGCACGACCGCGCCGCAGCGCCGGGTGCAGGATGAGCCAGCCGCGCCCCGTCCGCCCACGATGCACCGGACCATCCGACTGAGCCCCGACCGCCCGAAGATGTCCGCGTGCAGCGACTTCGTGGAGCACATCTGGAAGCCCGGGTCCTGCAAGAACTGCTTCTGCCTGCGGGGCGACCACCAGCTGTCGCCCCCCTGCCCCCAGCCCCCGGGCGGCCTGCTCCCTCCTCCCCGCCTGCCCCCCAGGCCCGAGCACGGCCGCCCGGAAGATGAGGGAGTGAGCAGCTCGCCCTACTCCAAGCCCACCATCGCCGTGAAGCCCACCATGCTGAGCTCCGATGCCGCCGACGTGTGGACGGAGGCGGCGAGCCTGAGCCCCGAGGCCTCGCAGGTGAGCCTGACTCACCCCTGCGGCATCTGCACCGGGGCTGCTCCTGCGGGAACGCTTGCTGACTGGCCGGCAGCCAGGAAGGGCTATGAGAGCAAGACTCCCGCAGGATGGCTGCCCATTGGCTTGTCCCAAGGCCGCTCCTTCCTGGCCGCTCCCTTCTTCCCATCTGTTTCTTTCTTTCTTTTTTAGAATGGAAATTTAGAAAGCTTAGAAACTTTTATTTTATTTTATTTTTGTTTTATTGTTATTTTTTAAAATATATTTTATTGATTTTTTTACAGAGAGGGATAGAGAGTTAGAAACATCGATGAGAGAGAATCATTAATCAGCTGCCTCTTGCACGCCTCCTACTGGAGATGTGCCCGAAACCCAGCTACATGCCCTTGACCAGAATCGAACCCAGGA